TATAAAGTATTTAAATATAAAGGGGCAATTGTAGGGTAAAGAAACAACAATTTGTACAATTTAGATGAAATGAACTAAAGAGAACATTGCTAGGATTTTATATACAATAGATCCCTTTCACCTAAATCTTACACACCGGACCTTTAAACTTCAAGAATGTCTGAAAGACATTAAGGCCTGGATGACCCAGAACTTTTTGCTACTTAATTTCGTCATTGCAATTGGCCCTAAACATCTCAGAGAAACATTGTCCCACCAGATAGTCACCTTGGATGGCATTAGCTTGGCCCCGAGCTCAACTGTGAGCAACCTTGTTCGACAAGGACATGTCATTTGACCAACATATAAAAAAAATCTCTAGGACAGCTTTCTTCCACCTGCGCAATATTATAAAAATTAGAAACATCCTGTCTCAGAAGGATGCTGAGAAACTAGTCCACACATTTGTTACCGCTAGAGTAGATTACTGTAATTCTTTATTTTTAGGATGTCACAGATGTTAGTCTGTGAAAATCCTCCAATTGGTCTAAAATGCTGCAGCACGAGTGCTGACAGGAACTAGATGGAGAGATCATATTACTCCTGTCTTAGCTTCTCTACATTGGCTCCCTGTAAAATTCTGAATAGAATTCAAAATCCTGCTCCTCACATTTAGAGCCCTTAACAATCAAGCCCCTTCATATATCAGAGAGCTCATAACACTGTATTATCCAAATAGATCACTTCATTCACAAATCACAGGCTCTTTTGTGGTTCCTGAGTCAGTAAGACAAGAATTGTGTGTGGAATAACTCTGGTTTCTGAAGGCAGACACCATCTCTGCATTTAAGGTTAGACTTAAAACTCTATGATAAAGTCTATAGTTAGTTCTGGATCAGGTGAGTCCTGAACCCTCCCTTAGTTATGCTGCTATAGTTGTAGACTGCTTAGGGAACTCCCATCATCCACTGAGCACTTCTCTCCTTCTCTCTGCTTCCTCATTTATCTTATTTATTTGACTGCATGTTACTAACTTCCCACTCCCACAGTCTCTCTCTCTCTCTTTGCAGATATCTCTGACTCCAGAGCTGCAGGATAACTTATTATTTATGTTTTTTTGTCATTATCATTATTAATTGTTGCTGCTATCAATAATAACATCTTTACATCTTTTCATATCATGCTAATTGTTTTCACTATCACAACTAGTCAGAGCTGAAACCTGATGGTGCACAACTGTTCCTGGTGTCTCTCTCCCCCTCCTCCCCCTCCCCCTATCTCTCTCTCTCTCTTCTCTTCTCTCTTTTCTCTGCTCACCCCAACCGGTCGAGGCGGATGACCGTCCACATTGAGCCTGGTTCTAGAGGTTTCTCCCTGTTAATGAGGGAGTTCTTCCTCTTCACAGTCGCCAAAGTGCTGCTCATTGTGGGAACTGTTGGGTTTCTCTATATTAAATAAGATTTTAAGGTCTTGACCTTCTATGTAAAGTGGCCTGAGATAATGTATATTGTGATTTGGGGCTATACAAATAAAATTGATTTGAATTGATTTTAAAAGTGGGCCAGAAAACCTGGACTGGCTAAAATGTTCTCACTCTCAGTGAGTTCTAGGTTCAAAATGGTCCTCACAGAAATATGTGTATAAGTGGGCATGCACACAAACACGCACACAAACACGCACACACATACACACAAGCTGTAAATGCCAGTGTTAATGTACTGTAGGAAGATGCAAATGATGTTTGGGCTACTTGTGTTAGTCATCTGTTTATTCACCACCATTAAACTTGCTTTCTGCTCAGTGGGGATTGAAATCAGTGTCTACAGTTAAGTTTATCATTTTAAGTGCAGTTCTGAAACAAATTACACTATTTCATAGAATGTGACCAAAGACAAACTGTTGCAGTTTTCTTCACTTTTATGACAGTGTAGCTGTGAGAGTTTGAACTGTAAAAGGTAAAGTTTGAACTTGTCTGATAAGGCTACTGGAGCTGAATATCTTGATATTCAGTGAATATTGAACTTCTACAAAGAATTCATCACACGTCAATATAATCCTTCAGTGCGCAAAAAAACAAACTACCAGGATTTGGAGTTTTTTGAATTATCTTGTGAATCTGAATAAAGTATTCTTTTTTACTATATACAGCAAAATTAATTCAACACAAACTCCATAATTGATTTTACTGGTACAGACTTTTGTGAATTAATTTGGACTGGAATCAGAAAATGTCTGCCATTTATTAGGTAAAAAGGGTCATTTTGACTTTCAGAGACAGTAACCTTCAAAATGATTATTTTAACTATTATGTGTTTAACACTGAACAATGAGGTGAGGTGATGAAAATATGAACAGTGGAAAAACACACTGTTGTTGATGATGATTGGTGGGCACAGATGATGACATGATTTTGTGCTCAATAGGTTTCTCAGCTGTAACTCTTTACATCTCTTCCTTTGTCTTACAGTTGGCAAGCTGAAGTCTCGTCTGCTCTTTCTGTTGGCTCTGGGTGGCTCGTGTGTTCGATTTGATATAGGTTAACTTCTTTGGTTCCATTCCACCTGAAAAAACCACACAATGAAATTTACGTCAGAGGTTTTCTCAGCACGCAAAGTTAATTATTTCCCCGTGACAACCAAAGGATTCCGATGTGGAGTAAGGAGAACAGAGTGACGCTGACAGACCGACCTCGGGCATCTTCAAAACGAGCAAGATTGTCACTCAAAATTCAAAGTGGCAGGAGATGTGAGTGACATTGAAAAAGCAGAGGCTGATATCTTGAGAGATGATTTATAATTCTGAGAACTACTTCACTGAACTGTAAAAGTGTGCAACTAAAGACAGGGTGGAGTTTTACCAGACATGCTCAAATCAAACTGCCACATTTCTCCAGTTCTCTCTCAGGAGACAAATGTTTAAATATGCATTTCACCATAAAAGCATGAGTCAATCTTAACTGTCTGTTCAGAAGATTCTCAGTGTCTGTCACACTCTTTACAAAGTAATCCCTTTTTTACAAAACGTGCAAGACCATGAGCGAGATCCCTCCACCTGAGCCCTCTATATGTTGAAGCTGTTTGCATGTATGCAATAAAGCAGAAACCTAACTCTATTGCTTTACTTGTCCAAGTAGGCTACAGCATGTGAGCTAAGCAGAAACATAGAATGTATCAAAGATCAGAGTCTCACACAAAGACTAAACAACCTCAAACTCCAGCAAATAAACGATGTTGTTTGAAAATGTCCATATTATCCATCATTATCTGGTGATTTAGCAATTTGTCGAGGACATGTAGCTTTACCTATAAGCATGATAGCATGTATGTTGCATCCAGTGCATAGAGACATGTTAAGGTTGTCATGTATGCACAAATTAGCTAGAAACATTCAAATGCCAGCCAAACCTTTGGACTTACAAATTGAATGCTGGAAATAAGTCTGCCCTTGTTTACATCTGTCTGAAATAAAGCATCCATTATCTTTTAAAAAATTACCACAAATTGGTAACTGCCGCTGTTAAGACTCTAAAATGCACACGTGCCACCCGAGAAAGGATATTTTGTAGCTGTATAAGCAACAACAACTCAGGGGGACAGGATTTTAAAGGGTCAGTGTGAAAAAGCTTTTTCACTTCTGTCACTGTTGTGATGCAGTTCTTCTTATCAGTGAAAATTGGTGGATCTGTTATCACCATATTGAGCAGGTCATGTCTACAGTATCTTCAGGAATGGAAACTACCAGTGCAGGCACTTGTTATAATGACACACCATGATCACTGTGGCTTTCACTAGTCTATCATATGTATATCATATATAGGGTTGGGCTCCTTCTGTTTCACTTATACTCATACACCGGAAGTAAAGCAGAGAGCATGACACAAGTGGAGCGTCAGGAAATGTCCTCACATGAGAAATGTATCTGCTCCATCTCCAGAAGTGGAGTGGCCCTTAGAATGGATAGATGGATAATTAATTATTCAGTGAGATTTCCATTGAATGTCTTTTCTTAAGAATCTGACAGAATGCAAGAGAGATGTCAAAAATGAAGCCGGCTCATCACTGTAGCTCTTGCAGCAACAGCTTTAGTTTGTCTGAATTTGTCTTTCAGACTTTCAGAGTTGAATTAAAAGTAGCAAACAACTCATGCCTTAGATGAAAAAATACAGTTGACTGTATCAAACAATTAATATTATAAATATTTCAGCTCCTGATTTGGCTTAGTTTTTCCAGTCAATGATCTCCGTCCACAACAAGATGCAGGTACCTCCACAACCAAAATACAGACAATACAGAGATGGCCACAAAAAGTACATCCAGATGTATCATGTGTGGCATATTAGCATCAGACTATAAAAGTGCATATTTGATTAACTCCTAAGTAAAATGTAACTCAAAAGAATATGCCTCATGTAAGAACCACTGGTATGATTAAAGACTTGTAATACAAGTCATGTGCAGTTTGAGTTAAATATTATAAAATCTAAATTAATTTGGGGTTTAAACACATTACCAAATGCCATTACCGATGCAACCAATGTTAAAATCATGTAATTCCATAGGCTGTCACTCCTCTATGTTTTGATTTTTCACCCTAGGTTTGCTACATCAGGGTCTGTACAGTGTAATGGAATCAATCTCCATGACAGTCACATTCTTAGACAGCCTCTCATCTCCCTCTCAAGTCATGGCCTACTTTTATTTAGCATAGCTTTTTAATGTATCTTACTCTACTTCAAATCTTTCCTTCTACTCCCTCCCTCTGTCACAGTAAAGCTCTGAAACTGTGCTGACAGCTGCACTAACATTCTGTAATTCTTTTTGAGTCCCCTACAGCAATACTGACACTGGCAAATTCTTTGCTGATTTCTGACAGCAGGATAGGATTTATGTGAATGGAACTTGGTTGTATTTGTTAGTAATTTAGGGGTGTTGCACAGAGATATACTGATGGCATTTTTTAAGTTGAAACTAGCAGTTTGCAACACGTTTGTGCCATTAAATCTGACTTGGGTCACACGTGAAACAAGTAAGATTTGGCAAAAGAGCACACAAAGTTTTCAGTGCATAAGTCCACAGCACTGAAAATAAAAACCATCATCATCATTACTGCTGCAGTCCAACAGTCATGCTTCTTATTGGTGCTCTTGTGGCTTTACTTTACCTTGCGGTGGTCTGGGGAGCCTGCTCTGGGGATCACACACACTGGCACAGGTCACAATAGGTTCAGACTGGGGTTGGATGGGCTGGAGGAAGGCCACAGTGGGGAAAGGCACTGACTGGATATGGGTCATGGAGGAGTCAGACAGGGAGTTTGTCACCCCTGCATGGCTGCTGACCTTAAAGCTGGAGGGTATTCTCCACCGGGGTAATGGGGAGGGAGAAACATCCTCGCTGGAGGAACTGGGGGCACTAGGAGGACTGAGGGACTGTTCTGGGGTTGATGAGGATTTGGGGAGAAGGTGCAGGATGGAGGAGAAGAAGGAACAGGATTCAGGAAGAGGGATGGTTCCAATCCCACTGTCCAACGTTCGCATCTTGCAGCCGGAGCCTACGGCACAAGGAGAACAGTTGAAGTGGCACAGGGTAGAGGGAAAGAAAAGGAGCACGACAGGAATGAAACAACAGGGGAACCATGGTTGAAGTGGTGCTAAAGAATTCATTCATTTTATTTATTATTTGATGTCCTCTGGACTGTTTCTGAAATGATAACTGAAGAGTCAGTGAAAGAGCCGTCATTTAAAATGAGGGCAGCTTCACCAATCCCTGATGATGGGCCTTCTCTGTAGTATAACATGAATGTTTCCCTCATGCCTAATTATTAGTTCTTCCACGTTATGATCGCTGCTTGTTTGAGCTCTAAGCACTCGAGCTCTACATTGTACTTTGATCCTTTAAATAAAGACAACCAACAGATGGTTAGTCTGTTGTTTTCTTTTCCCTCACTCTTTCACTTGATGATGACTTCCTCTTAGAAGCCAAGCTGGAAAATAGTGGTTCAGTACAACGTAATTACATATGTGTGAAGCAGGGTAATGATTGTGTTTGCTAATTACACCACGCACTGCCACAGAATGACTCAGCCAATGCAAATCAAGCCCACTTGAACCACCGCTTTGTATTACAGACGTTGTTTAATGGGAGTATGACAACTAGCATGCACTGATCATACTGTGAATATGAAATACACGTCATGGCTTATGAAATGAACTTTAAATACACCACAAGTGTGTGTATTTCATTTGCAACATATGAATACTAACTCACATAGACCCATCAACGTGTTGCTTCTTTACTTTAAGATGTGTGGTTTGCATGACTCAGTCTAAAGTTATGCCTGCAGAATTATGTCGTTACTCTAGTAAACCTTGGTTAAAGCTTTGTACATTTGAAATAAGCAGAGTGGGTATCATTGTCTGAATCCACTCTTGTCATGCAGGCTTATGTTTTAATATGTAGCCTGTAGCAGCAACCTGTGGGCAATCACACACTGAAGCAAAGGCAGCTGCTGCTCCCCCTTTATTAATTAAGACATGCACACATGAGACTTCAGACACTGTTCTGGGTTTCTGCAAGCTCTTTTTTCTTTTCTTTCCTCTTTTCATTTTTTAGCAAGAGCGCTCAAGTTAATTGAGTTCTTCAGATTTTCCACATTCTAAGTTAGGCTGTGCTGGAAAATTATAAAATAAGAATTGGGAAAGAATAGAAGTTTCAAAAATAAAGTTGACACGATTTGTTTCCATGAAAATACAGTGCATATACATCAGTCTGCTGCTATTGAATGGCAGTCAGTAGAGCACCTATCTCAACCCAGGCCCAGTAGTCCCCTTAAATTCAAACAACCTGCACCATATCCTACACACTTATAGATCTAGTCTAAAATATACATTTTTATCATCAAGATCTGTAAAACATTCACTGGGAAATCAGTGAAAATGTCAAAAAACGTCCTGTCTTGAAATGTGACAAGTCATAAAAAATGATTTGACCCACCCTCTGATCTGGATCTGCACCAATATTTAAAGCATGTCTTCCTGATCTATATCACATCCTTCCACCAAGTGTAATGATAATCTGTGAATTCATTTTTTAGAATCTTGCATACAAAAAACAAGTAAACAGTAGGCCACAAAACAACCACCATCTCAGGTTTATCTGGAGGCTAATAGCTCCAGCATGGTAACTTTACAAACACCTAAGGCATTCATCTATTACAGCTAAAATGTAGCTTTAAGTACCTACTTACATGCCTATCAAGTAAACACCACATGAGATAAAAATGAGTCAGCCAACTTAGTTCTTATCCAAACAAAACAAACCATTGGTATGAGAAGCCATAGAAAAAGAGACATTATTGATTAGTTGGGTCTTTAGTTGAGAGCTAACAAGAACCACTGTGACAACATATTCCCTGGAAAGTCTGAATCACAGGCACTGAGAGTTGATTTGTTTGGTTTCAACAAATATTTAACATGGACAGGAGTGGCAAGGGTCTGGTATGCCTGCCATTGAGATCAATGTTGTTATGGTGACAACAACACGACCCATAGAAGAGCACCAGTAAGAGGTGTGCTCAATCTTCATCCACATGGTAACAAAAACAAATAGTGATTAATACTGTGGATCAGTCAGAACAGACTTTGGTTAGGTTTAGGCACAAGCAGTACTTGGTTAGCGCTTTGGTTAGAAATCCTTGTTTGGGTTAAAACAAATAGCTGACATGTAAAAGTTGCAGTGATGTGTAAAATAACTAATATCAGTTTTGTCCACCCATCCATCCACCCCAAGCTACTGCTGATGCAAACTTAGTCACTCTATATGTCACCTGACAATCTCTTACACTCTATTACTGGAGATTGCCAACAAAAAAAGTGTAACAATGGGTCATAATAAGCTGCTTGCATTGACAAGCTATAGGGTGATTCTTTAATAGAGGACAGTGACACTTGTTGTAGAATTAGGTTGGTTTAGTCATTGAATATATAAGAAATCTGTCTTAACATGTCTCAATACTGTCGACATCAGTGTGTCTTTGAAGACACCTTGTCAGAGAAAACTAATCATAACTTCAGCAAAGAGTTCCAACAGCTACCAAGTAAAAATCATGTTTCCACAATCTCCCCCAGGCAAGAAACCAACAATAGATCCTCATCTTTAAGGTACAAGTGAATGAAGAAACGTTGTACTCTTGTCTCCTGCTTCCTTGGTGGGAATATGTTTCAGGTAAAACGTTCAACAGTGCAGTGAAGAGAGAAAACACATTAAACACATTATTCTCTGAAATCACAAGTATCAGACCTGTCCACTGACAAAAATGTAACAACATACTGAATTTCAGTCAAGATACATTAGATATTATCTTTAGCTTAGCATTGCATTGCAGCCAAATCCAATCCGTCAGTGACACCATTTCAAGTCGAATTTGAAAACTGAGGCTTGTGGACACTTGGGCGACACCACAGGAGCAGTATAGTGGCATTTCATGGTTTTTTTCTGTGGTTTTCTTTCCGTTTAAAGAAGTGGTCACCAGTTACTTCATCTGTAATGGATTGGCTGCAATGGTTTTTACCCCTGACGCTCCAAAAGACTTCAAACACTTCACCCAACCCTCCATCGGCATGGTTGTGAGTAGATAATGAGTGAATTTTAATTTTTGGGTGAACTATAACTTTAAGAACAAAGAGTTTATCCTTTAGAATTCCAGTGCTTCAGCTGATTAACAAATAACCTTATTTCCATGAAAATCTACGCTAATTGGTAGTTCATGCAGTGAGTGACATGAAACATGTGTCCATACTTATAAGAAAGAGACATTCACTTGAAAGCTGATTATTCTTTGAGCTGGTAAAACTGGAGAAACCTCAATGAAGGAGGAATTGTTAATATATCGTTGACAATACTACTGGTGGCTAGAAAACAATCCTTACCTTAAAAAAAGCTTCAAAAATATACAGTGTTTATAAAGGACTGACTAGTGTAAGATGCATATAATGGAGATATCAATACACTTAAGAGCTCAGCCTTTATATCAGACTGTGTAAGTATGTTTCAGAAACACCTTCCGTTGTAATCCTCAGTTTCTCAATGCGACTGCATGATTTTTCAGTTTTTCATGCACAAAAAGTCTTCATGTTTTCATTTTCTCTCTTTATAAATCTGTAAAAAAGAGAAAGAAAGACAATGCAGGATGGGGTTTGCCGTCGGTGGCCCTGTTTTTGTTGTATTGGCTTGCTTTTAGGAGGATGGTGATGATTAGGTTATAGAAGTATTCGAACGCAGAGCAAAGGACATGGAAAAGGAGAACTGTATTGTGTAAAATAATTGGGAACATGCAGTTTAATTTCAGTAAGCCTTTAATGCATGACATCAAGGACGGAGGCCTGATGACTAAACATGTACAGCCAATATTGCGGTTTCATTTTATTTTCGGTGCTTATTTTGGTTTATCTCATTTTATTTCGAAACATCTAGGTTAAAACTGCTTTGTCAACATAAGATGAGGTCCAACAACTTTATGTGTGGATGGCATAATTCAGACCACAGCTGAAGGCAAAGTTAATTCACTCAGATGTGGCTTGGATGAATGTGCTTAGCTGGTACATTGCAGGAATGTAATGAGGTGCTTAACCCCTGAGGGCAGGCGTCCGTCCATATCAAATGTGTTTGATATTTGCAGCACTTTGCCAATAGTGTGACTCTGACCGGTTACATTTCCAGTCCTCTACCTGAGAAATGTGGACAGTTGTTACTATTAATTGTCTACATAACTGTGTCTTAATTTGTGTCTGTCTATACTCAAACTTTTTGTGTGAATGAGTGCCTTCACACTGACAAGCAGTGCATTGGAAGTAACCTTCTCAAAATGGTCTAGAAACAATGGGATCTTCTCATGCTCAATGGTCACTATCTTGGGTACATGGTGGAAGGGGTGGGAACACCAATGTATTTTCATGTATTTGGGAAATAGTGGTAGAGGAAGGAATATATTGATACAGATAGTGAGTTAATTTCCACGTTGTATGACAGAGCAAGAAAGTGAATGTTCATTATTGAGTCACGTGAGCAGAGCAGCTTGCAGGTATTTTGCTGGTTACAACTGTGGTCACATGTTGATCATCACAAGTGCACAATGGCTGTGTTTGATTTGGGACACAGAACCATGTTGCAATTCATGCACTACACCAGTGATTGTCCTCTGTACACAGTGTACCCCATGTGAGTGTACATGTGAAGTATCTGAAGAATTTCTGTGAAGTTTCACCCTGGCCTCAAGGCTGAATTAAGCTTGGTTTTGATTTGTTTTTTTGATGCTATAAAAACAGGGCGAGACGTTATGACTGACAGCTTATACTTATTTACAACTGGTCTGTCAGCAGTATTGGCCCAGACCTCAATACTGTAGCTCCACTCCACAATAACTACAGCATATTCAAACTGACTCCAAATGACACCATCCATGCAAGATGGCAGCACCTGTATGAAGCATATTTTGGCCTTAATTGTGTGCAGTGGGAAGAAGTAGAGATACCAGAAACCAAAAACACCCTTGTATGTGTGGTTCGATCAATTTCATTAATGAAATCCTTTCATGGGGCCATATCATGACTTAATTTGTAGTAACATACAGATGGTCCACTACCAATTGACCTTATATTGGGAAACTAGGGTTAAGATACCAAGACCTTCTGTAAAGTGGTCTATAGATAAACTGTTAAAGAAAATATATTATGGGTCCATTTCTAAGCGTGGTTGGGAGGGAGCTTGGCCCCAATATTGATGAATGGGTTCATCCGGATTGGATGAGCCTGTGCATGCATATTTTCAGAGCATGGATCTGTGAAGATGAGCAGTCACACCTACACACAATATCTCCATTAAAGTTGTGGAATACAACCACAATGAAATGGTTCCTATTTGCCCTGATTCAAATTGACAGTCAAAACAATATATACTCTAAATGTGGTGGTAAAATGAATTAAATAAACGCAGAAATGGAAAAGCAAACACTGACAAAATTCAGAATCTTGTATGTTTTCCCAACATATTTGTCATGTTTATAACTTACACATTTTTTTCATATTTGGTCTTCACTTCTGTCTGCAAACTGTAGAAGCACAGATAAAACCTTGAGGGTAAAATACTCAAAAGAAGGCAGCTCATAATGTTTTTAACAAAATGAGGTAAGTTCAGTTTTTCAGGTACCAAGATGTTGAGAGGGATCCATTACTCACTATTTGCAGTCACTATAAGCAATTATGGATGATCCAACACAACAAAGAAAAGGAAAATCTGACCTATTACTGCATCCTGGTTGGGGCTCTTCACAGTAGATCCATTTTCACTGTCAGCTCTCCGGCTCATAATCTGCATCTTTTTGTTTTTGCACAAGAAAAAACCCCTGTTACATTCATGTTTGCTGTTTGCTTTTATTTATAATCCCTTATCATAGAGCAGGTCGTAGTCCTTTTGACTCTGGCTGAAAATCTAAAATTCCTCTCCTCATTTTCTTCTCATTCAGGCTTTTGACTGACATGTGGTCGCTAGGCTTTTGGAAGTTTAGAAGGTTCTACAAACAGTCCCCCATTGAAATGTTCATGTAAAACATTTTACGGGTTTATAACTGAAATTATTTATCGAATAGACAAATTGCAAAAACATTCCACATACTTATGAAGCCTTGAATGAATCACTTGTTGAAATATATTTTTTGAGGAATAAATTAACTCCAGTGAATATTATAAACTCAATTCAAATTTAAAATTCTTCAAATAAGGGTAAGTAGTGAAGGAAAAAATGATGAAACTGTGTGTAAGAGGGTTTGAGGGACAGTTTAGGAAATCTCCCTTCAAGTAGTCCTGCAACAAATTAGGAGTTGAAACCTGGCTCTACTTTTGCTGCATAGTAAAGTGACACCACTGCAGAGGCCACTCGTGAACATAAATGCTAACACACATTCCTGGTGGACAACACTTTGTAATGGAAACACTGAGAAACCTTTAGGGTTGCACACCTCTTGGTCAAACTGGGCTGTCTCTATTATATTCAATGTCTCACTTGTACCTGGTGCCACACCTCCACTCAACATAGCCCATTGCTTTAGTTTAGGGCAGGACTGATTTCAGGCCGAACGCCTCTTAATGGGCCTTTTTCACAGCAGATATTTTATCATAGTTATTCCATTCAGGAATCCCAGTAATTCATTTCAAAATTCATCAATTCAACATGTGCATTTCTCTGTCAGATTTAAAAGAGTCTAGGTGAAATTCTTAGGATGTCACATCAACAATCACCTTGTATAAAAAGTTCCTATCTTTCATGGACATTTTTGTATTGTCAACTAAAACTCACTGCATAACAAAAAAATGATTGCCCATTTTATAAGGATCCACAAACTTATTTACCTTTGGGTCCCCGGTGATGTCTGCATGTCCTTGTATCTCATTCAGGGACATTCCTGGGCAGGGCATTGATATGCATGCTCTCACTGCATCGTGAGACTCTCTTCTCCCCACGGAGCTGAAAGAAAACAATTTGTCAACAAACCACTACATACTGTGATTCTCTGGTAACACATTGACTAACCATTCACATTGTGATTCAGCTGATAAATTACCCTATATCTTTTGAAACCTGTCTAAGACAGCTTATTTAAATGACAATTTAAATCATTTGAGGCACCATACTCGGTTAGGCTATGAAGAAATGCACTAGAGCAAGTGCTGAGATTAAATAAAATCAAAAGATGACAGTCATCACTGATCTACTGAATTTCTTACCAGTCTTTCCCATCACTTTTTCTTCTGTCTCTCTTTTTGTCAGACTTTGCCTGCTTTCCTCCAAGAAGTGATGTAATCTTTTGCTCCCTCTTGTCTTCTTTTACTTTTGGTGGATCCGTCTTTTTGCCGCTTGGTGCAGGAAGCTTACTTTTACGAAAACCAAACCAATTTGCCAGAGTTGAACCAGATTTTTGCTTCACTTCAATGCCTCTCTCCTGTTCTTGAGACTTGTGCAAGTTCTCCTCTATGCCGAGCATCACTTTCTCTTCGATTGTGGTTATTGTACTTTGTCTTTCTGGTTCTTCAGAGACTGGCTCACCAAAAGCACTCGAAAACTGTTGCTCAATCTGAATGCGCCTTGCCTGCTCTCGCTGGAGTTTAAGGCTTTGCAGTCTTTCACTGGAGGACCCCAAATATGAGGGAACCGCCAAACCCTCTTCAATCAAGAAATTATTCAAAAGGGATCGATTCATTGGACAATGATAGCTGCTAGAGCAACTCATACTTCCTGGAAGGACATCACCAAGAGAGTTTAAGGAGCTCCCTGAGTGGGTTTTGATCTGTGTCCGGACCTTTCCGGATCTGTTGAAGCTTGGCCTATCCATGTAGCGTGCACCAAAACTCTGGCTACGGGCCTTGGCCCCATTCATGCCCATTACTGGCTTAAGGAGAGGTCTGGTTGACACAGACACAGACCGTTTAAAGAGCCAACCTTCTTCATCAAAACCCCAGTCTAACATCACACCACTGTCTGATGTAACAGGTTGAACGCAGGGCTCAGAGTCCAGTGAGTTACAGCGAGTCTCAATCTTTCTGCGGGCTCTGTCATGGGCACCGCAGTCATGTGTCATCTGGGGATCACACATAAAAGTCTGAAATGTCTGGACACTTTTTGTAATCGAGTTTGTATCATCTTTGTTCTGTCTTCCAAATAAGAGGAAGGTACTGGTTTCCTGTCCTGAGATTGCCTCATTAGATTTAGCATTCGCAGCCATTTTTACAGCTCTTGAAGTGGAACTGTGAGAATTATTGGAAATCCCCTGGTAGTAAACATTAGAATATACCTGAGGCAAGACTTCTGAAAGTTTTGGCTCACTAATGCTCTGTTGGGATCTTTGTAAGATGCTCTGATTTGGCATGATTGAGGGTGTACTGCTTTCATCATGGCGTGGGGTAGCTCTATCCATTGAAAACTGTCTTGACTCTGAGGTTTGAGATTCTTCAACTGGGACAGATGTTATCTTGGATGAATGGGTATGGTAGAGCTTAGCAGGGATACCTTCAGCACCAATTTGTGGTGCTGTTTGTTGATTGTCTTTTGTTGTACTGGATTGTTGAGGCTGTAAAGCAGAACAAAGCTGATATGATTTTGGCTTGGTGTTGCTTGATGTCGTCTTCCCAGTAGTAGAGCACTGACCTACAGATTTATGAGCTTCGGGTAAGGAGTCACAAGTGGGTCTAAGGAGAAGAGAAGTTGTTCGACCTGGGGGTAAAGGAGGGGTTGTGGATCTATGTTCTGAATGGGAAACATCACAGTGCTGGTCTTGGCGTCGTTGTTTTCGTGGGGAGCAGGGTAAGTTATCATATATGTTCTCTTCCATACAGTTGTTGCTTGATTGAGTTCTTGTGGCTTGCAAAGAAAATTTAGTTGGGTTCTCAGAGCATTCACTGATCCCTGGAGGCTTAAATGTCTTTGAATATTTCACAGGGGAAGCAAGAGGAGAGCACTGCTGTACACTTTCAAGAGACTTGGAACTTGTTGATAGGATAATATCCTCATTGTTCTCAACTTTAGATAGTGCACCTTTGCTTGAACCATGTGTTTTACTGAGATTTGTTCTTTTACTAGGAGCACTTTGCCCACCAGGATTTGGCTGTGCTTTGGACCTGTGACCCTTTATAAGTTTTTGGTGGAGAGGTGAATGTGTGTGCTTTGCTTGCTCTGGTCCTCCATCTGCACTCTTGCTCCTCAAAATAAAAGCCTTTCTCGCTGAATCCCATGGTGGAAGTTTCAGTTTCCTTTGCGGAGATTCTGATATCGAGTTATCCGAGCTCTCACTGCCTACTTGACTTCCCTTGTCTCTGCAATAAGCTACCTCCATCGAGGAGCTGCGCTGTCTGTCATTCACACAGCTAAGAGCTCTGGTTGCAGTATGTGGTATAGATGAGCTCACATCACTTGTTCCTCCTTCCATTTGCTTCATTGCAGGTCTGCCCTGTTGTCTTTTGACATGATCAAGTCTGGATTTACGGTCAGTAGACTTTTCTTGGTTATTGTTTCTGTCACTGGATTTCACGCCTGATGCTTTGTGTTTATCTAGTGAACCTTTATTCTTGTCATCTCTTAGGCTATCTGTTGGGCTTAAACCAGGTTTTATTGTGGGCCCCCCCAAAAATGAGAAGTTGTCTGGCACAGGTGAGGGAAAAACACCAGAATTTCCATTAAGTTTTGCTGAGTCTTCGAGCAAATTGCCATCATCATCTCTTGTGACATCCAGTTTCTCTAAGCACAGAAGCTCCTGTGTTGGTTGGTCACTGGAGTCCCTACTTTGCAATTTAGATGAATCATCATCTGCATCATCCGAGTCAGGAACAGCAATCCTTTCTTCAGCATGGAAAGATTTACTTGAAGGAGCTACTTGTTTAGCTGTAGACCCTTGTTGGCCACACTTTACACCAAGTGAGTATATGCCTTCATTGGAGGTCATACAGTCTTTGCAGTGTGGTACAGATGCATTTGAAGATGCCTCTTTGGAGCTGGACATTTGGAGACGCTTTAGGCCTTTTAGAATGTGGCCTTCCTTCCATCCAAGCTCTGTCGGCTCCAAAGGTGCTGAATGATTACTTGATACTGAACCTGTACTCATCCTTTTGTCCCGGCTTGTTGCACACTGCATTACAAGAGATATTAAGGATTACTGAAAACATATTAATAGGTGGAAAACATTTTAGCCTAAATGCCATAAAGACACTACCAAACACTTGAAATTAAAGAAATCTTAATTATAGATGAATGACACCGACCTGCTTCGAGAAGCCACGTCCTTCTGCCCAGGTGTGGGAGCCACTGGAGTACTCACTACAAGCACTGGATAATGACAGTTCACTGCCACTACCGCTGCCACTGCTGCGTGGGCATGTTAGGCTCAGCAGGCTAGGCCATCTTCCTGCAGGAATACCTGCTTTTCCATTTTTCTGGACATCCTGTAAAATAATAAATCTTGTAATAAAAAGCAGAAATTAAGGAAACACTAGAAATAGACAGCAATAACTTGATGTCTATTATGAAAGTGATCACTGACATTTTTAGAAGATGCAATTTATCACTGTTAAAGGATATTGTAATTGTGAATATCATTTGCACCAGTGAACCGAATATTTATTCATCCACATAATTCCTGGCATTATATTCTACAGGTTATCTCTGTGTAAAAAATTATACACAACCTAAGAGAATGCCTCATGGCTCTCCCTTTGTCTCTGTCATAGATCTGAAAAAATCAATGTGCACGATCCATAGCTGTCTCTTTACATCCAAAGGCTAATTGCGAAATTGAAAAACATTTTCCTGTCCACTCAGCTCATGTTTTTAAAAAAAATGTCTCAATCCCATTTCACCCCTTCTCCCTACCCCTTAGCCCTACCCCTCTATTTTGTCTCATCTATTTACATCGATGACTACTGATGACGTCTTGGGTTCCACTCTACCTATGGTAATTTAAATAAAAAGGTAGGGCATTAGTCTAATAATGTGACACTGTATATTTAATAATGACTGTATGTGAAGGAGTCACTAGTACTGGCACCCAACTGAAAATGAATACAGTTCTACTGTTCTGTACAGAAACACTAATTTGGTTTTCCAACTAAAATGGTGGCTGTGGCTCAGTAGTAGAGCAGTCATCCTCCAACCAGACGGTCGGCAGTTTGATCACAGTCTTCCCCATCTGGATGCCAAAGAACCCTTGTGCAAGATGCTGAACCCTGTATAAGTGTATTTTTTATGTAGGGGAAGTTGTTGATAATCTTGCCTTTAAAGTTATATAATACTTTGTGTTGCTCTTTTGAGAAATCATTTTGTACCAGAGTTACCCAAACTTAAGTTTCTCATTTCAATCTCTATGTTTCTATTATTATATTTTGTCAATACATTTGAATAATCAAATTTTTAATGGCAGCACTGCTGATAAAAAAAAAACATCTTGTCAACATTGGCTGGGAGAATTCAAGTCCTTTCAATTCATATGCACAATTTAGCTTTTGGTTTTACTTTTTGAAAATGAGTTAAATAGCAAAAAAGTCTGTATAGTAGAGTCATTCAAATAATTTAGCAAATAATTATATCTGAAAACTGAGAGAAGAAAAAAAAATGAAAACCAATGTGCAGCATGATTCCAGAACTATAAAGTTTGAAATCTCAGTATTTCTACAGCAGCAACTAAACCTGCATTTTTACATCTTAAACAAATATCCAGGTCAAGAATTTGAGGTCTCATGCCTTCATCTCCAGGAGGGTGACTGCTTTCTTGTCTTGTGTTCCCAGGCCATAGGGACTGTTAGGAAACCTCACAAGAACTGAGCACATTACTGCTTTTCTTAAATCTTTAGTCTGGCTTCCACTCATACAATAGTTTTTAAAATGTTGCTGTTACAGCTTTAAATACAGTCCATAATCTCAGACCAAAATATCTCAGGCTCTGATGCCCTTGAAGAACATAAAAGTGCAGCTCTTAAATGTGTAGGAAGCAGTCGGCCGGTAGAATCTGGTAGTGTTACAACTTAAAACCACACAGGGTGGAGCTGCTTTCAGCTATATGAAGCTTATACACTGGGCACACACTCATCAACTGCTGAGATGAAATGTCCCCAACTCTCATCACTTTCCAATCTAAATGATAAAATCTGCTGTGCTCTTGCCCTCTAATGTGATAGATTTCTTTCTCTACTGCATTTTGATTTTTTTTATACATTCGGGACAATGACAACAACTGATTACTTCAATGTGCCTAATTTCTGCATATTGTCTGCATAATGTACTTGTCCATAAGTATAATTGTATGTATTGTATTCATGTGTTAATGCTCACTACTTAATACGTGATATTTAAAATATTGAAATGAATAGTGGCTTTTACAAAGATGGCAAACTCATCCAATGTCATTTCATTATTATTACACAGGATAAAGGATAGACAACTTAAACACATTAACGTAATAATTTTGGGTTAAGTCATAATAAAAACTATCAAAAAAGTTATTTTTATACATTGAGATATTGTATACATTTACTGAAAATGGTTGTTATGGAATTTGTTTTCATTTCATGGTTTTTAGATCCATGTGGAAGCCCCTCTGAAGGAAGCTAAGCCTGTGACAAGGAGCCTTTGGCACAATTCACTGGCATGGTGCTGATGCTGTTCGCATTGGTGCCGCTTCCAATCACAGGGACCCAAAGGTATCAAGTGTTGTGACCCCATTTAAAATAGCATTGATCACTTGCAAGCCTGCCATGGCCAGCTCCCTCTCAAAGTCATTCGAGTCATCTGTTAGCAATAATTAATGTGAATAGGAGATAATTGCATAAGGGAGCTGGAGACCAAAGTGATTTGGTCCATTCATTGATATTCACCTATTATTTGATTATCCGTGCTAGCCTTTGTTTCGCAAGCACTGAAGGAGAAGGCCACATTCGGCCATGCTAATGCAGCTTAATCTCGGAACTAATTACAGTTAGCATGTCATCGGGTATCTGAGATTTGACACAAGTGATAAAGTTTTACAAAACTCTCAATCAGAGTGGTGCTCTGCTTAAAGTCAAGGACAAATATAAGGGCTGCTGAGATGATCTCCCCATTGCGTATCTCAGTTTTGTTCTATTATGTTAAATCATTTTTCTAAATTCGAAATTCCATGAAATTCAGACAGGATGACAAACCTTTAAGCTCCTTTACATGAAAACGTCTAAATGTATGACACATTTATAAGTAAAAAAGTAAAATAACTTGTTTTCTGACTGGCTATGGTAATTTTAAATTACAATCTGGAGAAGTGTTAAGGACATCGTGGATCTCGCCAGAAAAAAAAAAAGGTTTACCAAATTGCAGTATGTACGAATGTAGGTTTTCAAACTTGACCCATAACAGAGACTGAAAGTCAGGCAGGCCTCCAAACGTGTAAATAAATCATAGTAAAATTGCAACCATCCATCCAAGAATATTGCAGTTTGTTCTATTTATGAAAGCTTCTCCACAGAGACTCTTGTTCACTCGTGCTTCTATCCCAGGCATGTCACAGCAGCACCAAGACTTCTTACATTTTAGCACTGGATTCAATTTAACTGCTCACCCATGTGGATCTGGAGATTTAAACTAAAATTAAATCTCTTCACTTCTAAACTGTTTCACAGATATTCAAAACTGGATGGCTCATAATTTCCTTCAGCTGAACCCAAAAAAGGAAGATTTCTAAAATGAAACCTTTTCTCTCTGCCAAAAACCTAGAAACAGTCATTCATGCATTTATATCAACACGGTTAGATTATTGCAACTCCCTTTTCTCCGTCTGCAGCACGAAATCTCTCTCCTCACTTCAGCTCATCCAAAATGCAGCTGCCAGGATTTTAAAAAATACCAGAAAACATGAGCCTATCACACCCATTCTTGCATCATTGCACTGGCTCCCCTTTGGATTTAAAAATGTAACTGTTAAAGCCCTGAATGATCTGGCTCCAAGCTACATTATTGACCTTTTAACAACACATACACCATCACAAGCCCTGAGATCCTCAAATGCTGCCCTCCTGGTTGTTCCAAAGTCCAGACTTACACATACAAGTGACAGAGCATTTGCCGTTCATGCCCCCAGACTCTGGAACAACCTACCTGAGGAGATCAGGATGGCGAAATGTATCTTCTCGTTTAAGTCGTTTCCTAAAACCCACTTTTATAGACTAGCCTTCCTGTGAGCCTCTCTTAATGTTTAATTTATTTATTTTGCTTTCTCAATATGTTTTTGCTTGTTATACTGCTCTATTGATACTGTTCTGATGATTACACTTTTGTGATTCCTGTTGTTTTTTATCATGTAAAGCACCTTGTAAACCCTGTTTTAGAATGGTGCTATAAAAATAAAGTTTATTATTATTATTTCTCTACATAGATCACGAGCCAAATACACAGTAACATTCATTTGTTGTGATGTGCAGTATATTATATAATCTGGTGGAAGGATCCACCACAGCAAACACAGAGGGGTTGATTGTCTTGTTTTTTTTAAGAAATCAAATACATTTTTCAACTAATTATTTCTGGTATTATGACTGGATGGTGTATGTGGGATTTTACAGTGTCTGTGTGTGTTAAAAGACACAAATGACAATTTAACAATACAGCAAGATAAATAAGGTTTTGGATACACACACAATTCCAAAATTGTTTTAGAAAGTTTTAGAAACATTCACAGTGACACCGCACATGGTTTCCTTTCTGGTTGGTGCTTTGTCTGGAGGAAGTGTAAAATATTGCCATGTCTGGGAATATTGAAGTGGTGATTTGTTCTTAAGCCATTTCCAGGCTGGTGACCAGTAAACCACTCAGCCACAAGGACAATGGACCTTTGAGTTCACTTTAAATTTCACAGTCTCATCCAAATTTGTCCATGCATCCCTGTGAGCCGCCCAAAGCAAGGTCACACTCACTCAACCGCTCCACAGACCACAGTTTCCTCCACTTGAGTCTTTTCAAACAGTTCATCTTTACAGCTCTCCTCTCATTTACTATCACACGCACCAACTCCCACCTCATCCACCTCTTTGCCTTCAGGCCCCTGTCATTAATATATCTTGCTCATCTACACCTTGGTGATTTTTTTCCCATGTCACCTTCATCTCATCAGTCCTCTTCCCTTGCTGCTGCTGCTGCTGCTGCTGCTGCTCAGCGTCTTGCCTGCTGGCCCGGGGCCTCATTTATAACCATTGCGTATTCACAAAACGTGGTCAGGATGCATATGCTACCTCTCATGCAAATGTCGGGATCTATAAAAACAAACTTAATGGGAGAATGCTGACTGTGACCAATGCGTACGAACATTTTGGAGATGGTTAAATGACGATGCAGACGTGAGGTGGTGAACTGAAGCAGATTATTGATCCACTTCATCATTAACATTAAAACCAACAGCGTTATTTGTGGTCACGCTACATAACTG